GTATCTGTCGCTCTTCCATTTTCTCACTCCATTTGATGTTTGTTTCATTAAAAACATCGTTTCTTTTCCTTCTCGTTTTAAAACATAACTGAAGTTTTGTCAACAAATTTCCGACTAAGATATAGCTGGCTCAACTAAAACAAACTTCATCTTTCTTTCACCCAGCCGTTCGGCCATACTTCCTATCAAAACAACTAAAGTGCCAAAAATGAATGACTGAAAAATTTTTATTGGCTACGGCTGTTTATGTCCATCCTTATCTGAGGCCTTTGGAAAAAAAAAAGTGATGCTTTTGTTTTGGTAGGTGGTCGATCCTCCCCGAGTTGGTCAGCTGGTGTTGTGTTGTTTTTAGGTTACAATTGGTCAGCTGCCATCAGTGGCAGTAATATATAGTTTGTGTGATGGTCAGGTGCTAAACATCATATGGTTTTTAATCTGTGCACTTCAAGGTCATCATCACCTGATTCGTTCACGAAATCTAATACCAATATTTTAGGTACACTGTGCAAAAATTAAGCCTCACCTAGTACTCATCCTGCTTTTTATCCTTTATTACCCGATGCCAACTATTCCTATGCTCTACTCCTTTTACTTATTCTTCTTTTTCACTCGTTATTCGTTGCTTTTTTTCTTAAGCAAAATAAATTTCAATTAAAAATGTTATAAAAGGCAAGTTGAACAACCAGGAAGTACACTGATCAATGTAAGAAGGTAAATAACAAAATTAGGATTAATGTTAGTCAGCAGCAACAGAAAAGGAAATTGAAATATAATTTGAAAAATACGGATAACAAAAAAAGAGCAATCTATTAATATCCTGTTCACCACAGCAATCAGTTGAACAACAGCTTCTGTCGCAAAGTCTAAATCAAATCCGATGCAGTAAACAGAAAGAGCATCACAAAACGGAACAAGAGGCAATACTGGAGGCCTGAGTCTCACAAATGTTTAAAAACAAAACACCATCGTCGTAGATCACATTTTTGTCATGTGAAGTGTTAGGAACTGATCATTTTGATGGATGAAGCGTAGGTTAGTTTTACCAACTTTAGCTTTAAAAGAAAAACTTAGCTAGTAACAATGAAAATTCTGGTGACTCATCTAGCTTCCTGTACAATCAATAACTGACTCCGAACTTCGATTTATTATGGTTGCTATGCAAAGGTTTTTGAGATTGAAAATGAGGAAGGTAGTGGGAGCGGGGCAATGAAGTGACTTATTAATAGTACCTGTTCTTTTCGTAAAAATGTCTGCATTGTTAGCAGCTGTAAAAGTGGTAATATAAATATTCAAAAGACTTCACGTAGCTCAGTAATCATCCTGAAGATTATGTAAACGGGAAAAATAGCAATGAAGAGATGCATAAAGCACTTATGAGCAGGTGAAATGGCGAAACTGAACTGCGGCAAAAAAGTTGCCAGAATTTAATCGCTGTTGAATGGATACTTCATCATCCGTTGATACTTGTCCAGGATTTGCTGAACATTTAGCTGCGAAATTATTGTCAAACCTCTACCACTTTTGCAATTCGCCATTTTTTTCCCTTGGCATTCGTATAAAACGCTTATATTGCCCAACAATTTATATTAATCAATACTTAATGTTGTTCCCAAAACAGAAGACTGTTTGAAACAGATAACTGATGACAATAAACAAAGAAAAAAAGTTTTTTTGTGTTGACACAGTTTAGGGAAAAAATCTTTAATTTACTTAAAAAAAAGAAGAATTTCTAAGTAGACAGCAAAATTAACAAGTGCTCATCCGACAAATCAAGCAGTTCTTAAAACAGTAGCTGCTTACTTTACTAAAAGCCATTCTGAAGTTGTGCAGAGCATGGCAAATACCGCGCATCATCAATCTGCTGATTTCTTTGGCCATTTGAAGATTCCGCTAATTCTCACATGTTTTGTTATGAAAAATTTTGCTTTGCATCAAAAGTTCAGAACAAAACCTTAACTTTAAAAAACTAAAAAGAAAAAAATTTCCCATTTTTTCCTGCTAAGCATTTGAGCCGTGTAAATTCGAGGAGGGTAATCAGAAGACGCACACACAAAAAAGAATCGTTATGGGATATAACAGAGTTTTATGACAAAGTTGTTTAACGGAGCACAGCAGTTTCATCGACGGTAAAGTTAGCAATAAAAGGCTTGAAAAATATTTGCACGGAAGTACCCAAATGGACAGCTTTTAATATTGTTATGAAATTCATGAAAAACAATTGCTTAAAAAATGTTTTTCAACTCTCAATAAGGAGTAAAATGGGTAAATACTCTGTTTCAACGGGATGACATCTGAAAATTTTTATTGATATATGTGAAACATTTTTATGACAAAAAATTACCAGTATACAGCTGTGTAATTTTAAATGGGTAGTTTTAAAAATATGATTTACCATTTATGTATAAAGACTTGATTTCACATCTTAATTTTAGCCTACATAAATGTAAGTTGCCCATTTAACAACTGTGGTGGGGATAATTTCTTTGCGTAATCCTAATGTAATCCCAAATCCCAATATTGCTTTTGAAGTTTTTCACTGGTTGCTGTCTCGATGGTGCCTGATCATTCATAAACACTCCCTTTTACGACAAATCAGGTAATAAGCTTAGCTCTATCCTGCTAATAGTTTGCGGGCAACAACCAGCTGTTCCATAAGTCTTGGCACATTTTTACTTTGAAAAAACCGCTTAGAAAGTAGATAAGCAATAAAAAATAATAAGCAGTTGTTCAACTGCCATCTAAATCTATATCATAACCAAAAAATCTTATCTACTTACACTGAAAATCCTGCTACCTCGCTTAGTAGGTTCAATTCACCTTCCTTTCAACAATCGATACTCATAAAATTTGGAAGCCAGTTAAAGCTTTTTCAAAAAAAGGTGGGACTGTTAATGAAATTGAGTGTAAAATAATTAATTATAAAATCAGGTGTAAAGAAAATCGAACAACTGAAAGTTACGATCAGAAAAAAAACAGACATTCAGCCAGACAAGGTCAAAAATAGTGAAGGAGTTTGGCAAAAGAAATATAGCATCAATTTGAATGACAGGAAATAAGCACCTTTATCTCAGGCTTCTTGATACTGAACTGTCCTACATATGTTTCAAATCCTATATTTTACTACTGCATATACACAGTTCGAGGATCTTAAAGCTATGAAAAAGTAAAGCTACAGTTAATTCATTGCAAAACTAAAAGACAAGAAAATAACAACCGTAGCAAATACCGGAGTTATAACATCAAAATCCATCTCCATTTATCAATAAGAGTCACACTCTCTGCAATTTCCATGTCGCAAATCTACAAATCTTAGAGACAGCATTGAACTACAATTGCATAATCAGTTAACCAAGTATCAGTTAACTAAAATATACTTGAGCCATTCCACGCCAAATCGCACAAGTTTGAACCTCGACATCTCAGATTTTTTTCATTTTTTACCAACTTGTAGCACTCAATACCGGATTCGAAAATCAAAAGAGTTTACTTCAAAAAGTGCGCTGGCGGCAAAGTTAAACCGTTCTAAAGTGGGAAAAAAAACGCAACTCACCCTCGACATGGTCACCTTTAAGAACTTATTTGTCCTCGCAGTTCACAATGGATTTTTCTCGCTTTTACTTTGTTTAAAAGGTTGTCTTCTGCAGATTCAGAAAAGTGGTGATACACTTGAATTAGCAAATTTTGTTTTAAATTAAAATAAAAACAAAAATTCAAAACGGTTTTTCTCTAAAATCGACATTATAAATTTTTTTAAAAAAAGGCATGTTTTTTAAAGATATAATTCTCGCACAAAATGTGAAAATCGCAAGGTGGTATCTTTACAAAATTAAGATTTACGGTAAGATTAGTGACAGCAGACTGCAAAAAACCTTAATTGAAGCAGCATTTTGGCGTTTTCGCAAGTCTCAGAACCTCTATTCCCACTAGAATTTTACTTCTTTTTGTAGTATATATAGTTTCTAAAAAATTTTTTTAACTCTACCACTTCAGTAACGGACAATTGTTTAAAATTTATTTACTTTTAAACAATTTTACGAAATTTTTTTTAGAGATAAATTACTGTTATGACTATTTTTTCGGTTTATATGGCTCTGCTTGCTTATTTAACCCTTCTAACCCATATAAATTACGCTCAGTATTGTTTTTTTGACTGCGAGTATTGTTTTGCTATTTTTGTTGTCAACGTTTTCTAGTATAATGCGATGAAATTTCTTATATGTTTCACTGATGGATGTACTCGAAAACGCGATGCTGAAAGTGCTCCTCTCCTTTAATATTTTTATGAATGTTATGGAATCACTAGTATTTCTTCTCTTTAGTTCGGAGCCTA